TCTCCCTTCTCTGTAAAAAACCAATAAAATAATTTTTTTTAAAGTAGGGGTAGCAATACTTACATCTGGCAAAGTATTTACTATAGACTTTAAAATAAAGACTATAGTAAGAGATAAAGAAGAACACTACATAGTGATAAAGGAGAAATCCAACAAGAGAATATAATCCTTGTAAACAATTATGCACCCAACATAGAAATAGCTAAATATATAAAGCAAAACTTAATGGACATATGGGGAGAGAGCAACATTAATACAATCATAGTAGGGGATATTAACACACCACTGAATATACCTTCCAAACATAAAGTCTGTAAGAAAATAGTCTTAGATGACAAACTAGATAGATAGATTAAATGATATCTTCAGAGCATTTTACTCCAAAGAAGCAGAATATACATTCTTTTCAAGTGCACATGAAACATTTTCTAGGATAGAACATATGTCAGGACAGAAAACAAGTCTCAGTAAATTTAAGAAGATTGAAATCATATCTTCTCTGACTTCAATGGTATAAAATAAAATAAAACCAATCACAAGAAAAAAAAACAAAACAAAAAACACATAAAGACATGTAAGCCAAAAAACATGTTACTAAAAAATGAATGGATTAACCATGAGATCAAGGAAGAAATCAAAAGATACCTTGAAACAAACAAAAAGAGGACACAACAAACCAAAATCAATGGGACACAATGAAAGCAGTCCTAAGAGGGAAGTTCATAGCATTACAGACCTACCTCAAGAAATAAGAAAAATCTCAAATAAACAATCTAACTTTACGCATGAAGAATTAGAAAAATAACAACAAACAAAACTCAAAGTGAGTAGAAGGAGGAAATAAAGATTATAGCAGAAATAAATGAAATGGATTAAAAAATATAAATTTATTGATATATACAAAAGATCAATAAAATCAAGAGCTGATTCTTTGAAAAGATAAACAAGACAGACAAATCTTTAACAAAATTCATCAAGAAGAAAAGAGAGAGGGCCCAAATAAATTAAATCAATAATGAAAGAGGAGACATAGCAACTGACCCCATGGAAACACAAGGAATTATAAGAAAATATTACAAACAACTACATGCCAACAAATTAGACAATGTTGATGACATTAATAAATGCCTAGAAACATACAATCTTCCAAAACTGAATCAGGAAGAATCAAAGAATCTGAATAGACCAATTATAACTAATAAAATCAAAGCAGTAATAAAAAAAAAAAATCTCAACAAACAAGTCTTGAGCTGTATGGCTTCACAGGTAAATCTGCCAAACATTCAAAGAAGAACCAACACATATTCTTTTCAAATTATCCCAAAAAAAATCAAAAAGAAGGAAGTCACCCTAGCTCATTGTACAAAGCCAGAATTATACTAATTTCAAAACCAGGTAAGACACTAGAAAGAAAGAAAATCATAGGACAATATCCTTGATGAACATAGATGCTAAAATCCTCAATAAAATATTAGCATACCAGATCCAGCAATATATTTAAAATATCATACACCATGATCAAGTGGGCTTTATTCTGGGGATGCAAAATGGTTACAATATCTGCAAATCAATAAATGTGATACACCACATAAAAAAATTAAGGATAAAAAAATCTCATGATCATATCAATAGATGCAAAAATAAAAAAGCATTTGTTAAAATTCAGTACATATTTATGATAAAAATTCTCAGCAAAGTTGGATTAAAGGGAACATACCTCTACATAATAAAGGTCATTGACAAACTCACAGCCAACATCAAGGGACAAAAAAATAAGATCATTTTACTTAAGATCACGAATAAGACAGGGACGTCTGCTTTCAACACTTTTATTCAACATAGTATTAGAAATCCTGGCCATAACAATAAGACAGGAAGAAATAAAAGGTATCCAAATTGGAGAGGAAGAAATAAAACTGTCATTATTTGCAGATAACATGATTCTGCATATAGAGAACCCTAAAGAGTCCACCAAAAAACTACTAGAACAGATTAATGAATTCAGTAAAGTAGCAGGATACAAAATAAGTATCCAAAAATCAGTTGCATTTTTATTCACCAATAATTAACTGTCTCAAAGAGAAACTAAGAAAACACTTCCATTTATAATTACATTAAAAGATACTTTTGAATAAAAGTAACCAAGGAGGGGGAAAGACCTGTACTTGGAAAAATATAAGACACTGAAGAAGGAAATTGAAGAAGATAAAAATAAGTGGAAGCATATGCTGTGTTTATAGATAGGAAGAATTAACTTCATTAAAATGTTCATACTACCTAAAGCAATCTATAGACTCAATGCAATCCCTATAAAGATACCAAAGGCACATTTAACAGAACTAGAACAAATATTCTAGAAGTTAAATGAAACCACAGAAGACCCTGAATAGTTACAGCCACCTTCAGAAAGAAAAACAAAGTTGGAAGAATCATGCTACCTGATATTAAATTATATTATACTACAAGGCAATAGCAATCAAAACAGCCTGGTATTGGCATAAAAACAGATACACACATCAATGGAACAGAATGGAGAACCAAGAAATAAAGCCTTTATGGTCAATTAATATTTGACAAAGAAGAAAAAAATATACGTGGAGTAAAGATAGTATATTCAATAAATAGTGCTAGGGAAAATTGGACAGATACATGCAAAAAAAAAAAAAAAAAAAGTGAACCACTTTCTTATCCCATACATAGAATTAACTCAAAATGGATTAAGGACTTAAATGTTAGACTCAAAATCATAAAAATTCTAGAAGAAAACAGGCATAAAATCTTGAACATTTCTCCCAGCAATATTTTTTTTCTGATACTATCCCCTCAGGCAAGGGAAACAAATGAAAAAATAAATAAATGGAACTATATCAAACTAAAAAGGTTTTGCACAGCAAAAGAAACCATCAACAAATTAAAAAGACAATCCACCGAATAGGAGAACATATTTGCCAATGATACGTTGATAAGGGGTTAATATACAAAATTTATGAAGAATTTATAAAACTCAACACCAAAAAAAGAAAACAATGCAATTAAAAAGTGGGCAGAAGACATAAATAGACACTTCCCCAAAGAGAACATAAAGATGGCCAATAGACATATGAAAAGATACTCAGTATCACTAATCATCAAAGAAATGCAAATTAAAACCACAATTAGATATCACCTCACACAGAACAGAACAGCTTCAGTAATAAATCAATATACAACAAGTGTTGACAAGCATGTGGAGGAAAGGGAACCCTCATACACTGTTGGTGGGAATGCAGATTGTGCAGCCACTGTGGAAAATAACATGAAATTTTCTCAAAAAATTAAAAATGGAATTTCTCATGGCCCAACAAATTCCACTTCTGGAAATATATCCAAAGAAATTCAAAACACTGATTCCAGAGTATACATACACTCCTATGTTCATTGCAGCATAGCTTACAATAGCCAAGATTTGGAAGCCACCCAAGTGCCCATCAGTATGGTATGGAATACTACTCGGTCCGAAAAAATAAGGAAATCTTACTGTTTGGGACAGTGTGGATGGAGCTGGAGAGTATTATGCTAAGTGAAATAAGCCAGTCAGAGAAAGACAAGTGCCATCTGAGTTCATTTATGTGTGGATTCTAATGAACAAAATAAACAAAATAGAAATACTAATAGATACAGAAAACAGACTGAAGGGAGGAAGTTAGGGAGTTGGGTGAAAAAGGTGAAAGAATTAAGCAAAGAACAAAACAAAATCTCATAGGCAATGAGTTGTCAGGGCAACTAGACAACAGCGTAGTTATTACCAGAGGAAAAGGGCAGGATGGGCAGGTAGGAGAGCGTAAAGGGGGAATAAATGGTGATGGAAGTAGACTTGACTTTGGGTAGTAAACACACAATACAATATGCAGATAAAATATTATAGAATTGTACACTGAAACCTATATAATTTTATTAACCAAATAAATTCAATAAAATTTGTTTAAACTGAAAAAAAAAAAAAAGTGAGGATGAACAAAGTGTGGTATTATCTCCAAATCAGCCATTCTCAAACTTGGGCATGCATAAACATATCCAAAAATGCAACAAAAAAAAAAAAAAAAAAAAAAAAAAAAAAAAAAGTACATGAGGAATGCAAAGAATACATTTAAATTGTAAGTCTGATTCAGGTAGTTTCTGAAATTCAGAGAACTTTTCTAGTCCAAAAGAACTGAATGATTTGATTGTCCTCTTAACTGGGGAAAGAGAGAAGCATAACCTGTTATAACCTGGTTGCATGGGTATCTGGGATAACAAGCACCACTTCATTTCTCTCCTCCTCTTCCCCAGACAACTGCCTGTGAAAAGTGGAGCTGTGTTTTGGGTCTGGGGGGCGGGGGGGGGAGGGGGGGAGGGATAACATGGCCTCAAAACAGTGCCTGATGCATTCTTTCTCCCATTCCACTGCCAGGGCACTGAATTCATCTTTAGCTTAATTTAGTAGAAATTTCCAGAACATTGTGAAAAGTGTTGGAGTAAAAGAAACTGCTTCTTGAACTGAGTTCTGCACCAAAAAAAGGCAATCTAAATGCATAATCAGAGTGTTCCTGAGCCTCGTAGAGAAGCTTCCTCTTTGAAAACGTTGGCCCAGAAATCCCTGGGTGAGATTAATCCCTGTACAAAGCATGACACTAGCAGCCACTTGGACAGATGCATGGAAAGCTAGAACAGGCCAGAGGAGGCCAGGGAGTGAGCCTGAACATGCTCACTCGAGGCCTTCCATTCCTTCTGCTGTTAAAGACCAGCCAGGCTGTCACTGCCAGCTAACCTGGCTGCCTAGGGAAAGACCAGCTCCCAAAGTCTGCAAAGCAAGTCCTCTGGGAGGCTGTGGTACAATTGGCACTAACTGGGCACCGGCAGTGTGCTCATGGACTTGACTTTGTTACCGTTCCTATTTTTAACTCTACCATCACCCCATTCTGTGCTGAAAGCAGCCAGCTTCTCACAGACCCAACCTGAGCCGGGCTGAAGGGCCTAGGGAGTCAGGGCACTGTCTGCTCCCAGAGTCGCTTTCGAAGCAGCCACTGTCCTTTGGGGTTTTCTGTCTCGAAGTAGTCCTCCCCGGAAGATGCCAGCGTCTCCAGCGCAAAGAGCTCCTCATCCCATTCCACGTCTTCTCTGGAGAAGTTGAAGAGGATCCGTCTGGAGCTCCCCAGGCTGGAGGGAGGAAGGCAGCAGGGAGGTTACGTTGGGCTTGGCCAGCTGCACAGAGAAGGGATGCTGTGATTTAGCCCTCCAGTGGAGGCCATTAGATACCTCCCAGTGCTGGGCCTTATGGAGGACAACGCAGTGTTCTTATGGGGACTGTGGATGGGTCTTAGCTGGACCTCAAGCTGGGCCTGAAGGAGAAAGGTGGGTGATGAGGGCTGGGCCTCGGCGTTGATATGTTCTGTGAATGGCTCATTATTATGGGAAGAAGATGCTATTTAGAAACCCCTGAATCCACCAGAGTTGGATGGCTCTTGTAAAAACAAAGAAAAACGGGTGGATGAGTATAGATGGAACTCCAAGATGGGGTTCCCCAGTGTGGCCTGGGTTGGCCAGAACAAGAGAGCACTTGCTGCTCTCAATGAGTAGGTCACAGGAATTTGGGGCTACAGATGGTCACTGGTGTTGGGAGAGAAGGACCTGGAGAGAGGGAGGTTGAGAAATGTTGGCAAGAGGGGCCCAGACAGCAAGCAGTTCTCCACCTGAGCCTGGCCAATGCCTTCCTAAGGCAGGGGCATCTCATCGGCTTGATGTTGGTTCCAGCATGGTGCTATGCCCTCTTCCACCCAAACTCCCATGAAAAATGTGCAGTACGCAGTGTGTTTGTGGCATTTAGGGGAAACAAGGAAAGAGGATGGCACAGAGCAGGAGGACTAAGTGGCCAGCAGGAAAGAGAGGTAGATCCAGAGCTGAAGCAACAGTTTGGAGTGGTGACAACAGTGAACCAGGCTAGTGTATATAATATAAAACATTTTTAAACTGAGACTTCCATTAAAAAAATACACAAGAATGATTTCTAGCACATAGGATGGGGGCTCAAGGCACCTTAAAAACCATCCCAAGAGTCTGGTTATACTCTGTGACCCAAGCACTTACTCTTTTTTGCAGGCTTTGGGCTTAAATTTCAAAGTGCTGAAAGCCCCTTCCACCGCCTTGGGCAAGTAAATGGGGTGCCGCTCCAGCCGCCTCTGAGTGCCGATGGTCCTGCGCTCAGAGCTCTTTCGACACTGGCCGTCTGTCGTGTGGATGGTGTGCGCAGCCACGTGCTCGGAGTGCCGGCGCGGCACCCGCAGGATCCAGTTGGAGTGCAAGCTGTGCTGCCGGGAGCTGGTGGCCACTGGAAGAGAGAAACAGGGGCTCCTCACCATTGGGAGGAGCAGAGGCAACAGAGCGTGAACAGGGTTGAGAACTTAAAACAAATGCATTTACATAGCAGTGAGTTTTTAGAAAGGACTGGAGAACCAAGCAAAGGGGCTGATTTGACTGCAATTATGGTGTAGAAATACAATGGAAAATTGTGTGTCAATCAAAAATAAGAATGTACAGTTCTGGGTGTAACTCAGTTGATTGAACCAAGAGTTCGCTGGTTTGATTCCCAAACAGGGCACATGCCTGGGTGTGGGCTCACTCTCCAGTATGGGGCATGCAGGAGGCAGCCGAGTGAATTTCTCATCAACGTTTCTCTCTCTCCCTCCCTCTTCCTTTTTCCCTCTCTCTAAAATCAATTTTTTTAAAAACATAAAAATAAGAACATAAATCTATGTTTACTAACTTGGAAAGATGCCAGTATTGTAAATTCTTAGATGAAAAGAGCAGATGACAAAATAGCAAAGAGATCCTATTTTTGTTTAAAACCTTTTTGAAGAGACATACACCAAAATGTTGATAGTGATTACTATCTCTGGGTGATGGTATTACAGATCATATTCTTTGCTTTCTTCTTTATGCTTTGATGTGTTGTTTATTAGTACTCTTTTGATTTACAATATGCTACTGCTGTTATTAGAGGAAAACCATAAAGCCATTTTCAAAACACCAATGAAGATGACATTTGTATCCTCAGTGGGTTTTGTTGTCCTCTCACCAATGTCCTGGATTTCTATTAGGTTTGGTTCCTGGGGAATGGGCAGGGCTTTGTCAGGGACTGACGGGCAGTGCGAGAGGAGGGCAGACAGCTGCCTGCAGGGTACAGTGAACTCAGAGAGCAGGAGTAACCTGGGGAATCCCACAGAGCTCAGTGAGGACAGAAACCTCACAGATTAAGGCCAATCAAGGCCAGAACAACAAGAATGCAATATTTTGATCATTAAATAATTAAGAACAATTTAATATTAGTGCCAAAAGTTGATATCTCAGTGAGCCCTCAATAAAACCATCATTAATTACCTGATGGGAGGCAAGTCAACAATTAAAAAACTGACAGTGGAATAATGGAATTTAAAAGTGGGCTCAACTCATATACATGGCTGAATTATTTGCTCTCTGCCAGCAGAGAGCCGTGACATACCTAGACAGGGAGAAAAGTGTCACCGCAGTCCTCACCTCGCTCCCTCTCCGGGCTCCATGATAGGCCTGGACAAGCACCCTGGCCCTCTCATTTATTTATTTATTTATTTATTTATTTATTTATTTATTTATTTATTTATTGTTTAAAGTACCGTGTTTCCCCAAAAATAAGACATCCTCTGAAAATAAGACCTACTTATAGATCTCCTTCTGAGTGAAATATAAGGCATCCCCCGAAAATAAGGGCCCCCCCTAGGCTAAACATGAGAGATTTGGTCTACTGATTCTGAAAGAAATGGAGTCACAAGAAATTCACCAGGAAATTCAGGAATTGGATTGTTATGATGATGTTCCAGAAGATGATGACATGATTATCATTGAATAAATGAGTAAATTCTTGATATGTAGGATTCACAATTTGTCTGGTTTGTGTTGACAACTACCGTACTACCGTACAGTATACAGGTAATAAATTTCCTTTATTTTCATTTAACAATAAATGTGTACCGTATTCTTCTTCATGGAAAAATAAGACATCCCCTAAAAATAAGACCTAGCACATCTTTGGGAGCAAAAATTAATATAAGACACTGTCTTATTTTCAGGGAAATAAGGTATTACTATATAATAGTATATCTATCTCCTTTTCCCCCCCATTCACCTTCTCCCAGCCTCCCCTACCCCCTGTCACATGCCCTCTCTTGTCTTACACATCCTCAAGGCGTGGTGGCTCATGAGGGCCACAGAGGTAGTGCTGGGGGGAGGGGTGCAGAGGGATGACAAAGTGGGTGAAGGGTCAGAGTTGTGTCTAACAGCTGGTGCTGCCCCATGGCCACACTAGCTCAGGGAGGGTCAGAAGCTGAATTTTCAAATATAATTTGTCCTCTTTTCTTTCTTTTTCTTCAAAAATTGTAGTAAAATACAAATAACGTAAAATTTACCACTTTAACCATGTTTCAGTGTACAGTTTAGTAGGGTTGAGTATATTTGCATTAGTAAGTGGCAGAGCTCCAGAATTTTTTCACTTGCAAAAACTGAAACTCTTTACCCATCTAACAGCAGCTCCCCATCCAACGCCATCATTTAATCACTTTTCTATTATGTTAGCTCATGGGCTCTTACAAAAGTGTCACCCTGTCTCAGCTGTGGCAAAGGACCACAGGAAAGGAGTTTTTGCCCAAATGTGATCTCAAGTGTTAAAGGGGCAGGCTGAGGCAGCGGCAGCAGAGACAGCTAAGGTAAGGCAAACCCAAGAGCAGTCCAAGCTCAGGGCCAGGCTCCGGCTTGCAGATGTGAGTTTCCCTGCAATGGGGCGGTAGGATTCCTGCCAGCCCATCTTATACATCCTCTTCAGAGACTACACCCCACCCACCTTCTGCCCCTAGGGATGGCACTCACCATCAAAGTCCACATCTTCATTAGGGGGGTCTGTCTGGGCAGTCCGTGGCCGTTTCTCTGTATCCAGCTCTGCAATGATGGAGTCAAAGAAGGCGATGGCCTCTGCCACATCCGCGCTGAACTGCGAGTATTTCCTGGGGGTTGCTTTCTGCTACAGGTGAGGGGAGGAGAGAGAGTTGCTTGAGCCACCTCACAGCGCCCTCACACAAGTCAGTCATAACTGCCAAATAGAATGAAATATTGCTGAGACTAAACGTATGCAAAGTTATAAATCTTCAAGCTTTAAAAGGGAAATTTGGGTAAGTACTCTGGGGAAGGAAGGTAGATACTCCACACCTGCATTGCTATAAGTCAGTGGATCTCCAATTACCTCAAGGAGGGAGAGAGGAAAAATGAAAAGAACTGCCTCTCTGGGTGACAGATGGTTATTAACCATTAGATGAAACACTTAGTTTCTCGTGACCTTCCTTGCTGATAAACACCCAATCAGGCAATGATACAGCGCCTTAGGTAGGTGATGAGATGCTCACAGCAGGAAAAGGTATGTTGGAACTAAATCCCTAAAAATTGTCAGTGCCTAAAATGAACAAAATTGGGCCCAATTCATGGAATAAACTGAAGAAAAATTAGTTTCATTGTTCGAAAAGTCTAAGGAATAAAATGTATAGTTAATAAAAATACTCTGAGTGCCTAACTGGGTTCTGGGCTCTGTCCTGCTTCCTTCTCCTCCAGGACCTTATTCATTGTCCCAACTGCCCACCAAGGGTCACAAGTGACTGACATCATGGTAGCTCAAGCACCGCCATAAACTTCAATGGAGAGCTAACAGCACAAGAATCAATGCATGAGCCAGTGAAAAGTTCCCTCAGGAATTTAGAAAACAGAGAACTCAAAAGGGACAATATGTGTTAACCTGGGCTATTTTGACCATGTGTAGAGTTCTTTTGTTTTATATGGGCATTTTGAAAGTGGGATGGTATTAAAAATACATATGATTTAGTTACAGACTAGCATGTTGGGAAATGTATGTACAAGATTTTGGTGAAATGTATGTATTTTGTACTATTAGAAAACACTTGTAAATCAAGAATGTTTTGCTTAGCAGAAAATATTGAAGAACCCCAATATTCACCTAAATCATTTTTGTTAACAATGGAAAGCCATCCAAATGAAGTCATCCTTCCCTCTTCAAGGAGCCCACAAAAATAAAAGCAAGGAGGGGAGAAAGTAGAAACTTTAATTTCAAAGAAAACAGCAAGAGGCCATCAGCAAAAGACAGATTTCCAAAAGCATCTGGCAGTTGGAAAGCAGTAGAAGGAGGATCATTGATGTAATAGAGCAGAGGGCCTGGCCTTCCAGAGCTTCCTGGGTGGGGAAGCAGCTGAGGAGGGGGCAGTTTGAGCCTTGGGAACTGAAAATGCTCCAGACTTGACAACACCAGATGCAACAAGGGCTGGAAGGGGGTGTGGGACTGATGACAGACTGTTTGAAAGCCTCTATGCAAAAAGCAGGCCAGGCCACCAGGCATCCTCTCTGCGTCAGATGACAGGAGGGCTCATCAACATAGGCAATCAATATTCTTTTATCCTCCCTGTGGTTTTTCTTGTTGGTCCCTCTGCCTTGGTTGTCTCATCTGGCTGACTCCCATTCATCTACCAAAACTTGGCTGATATGACCCAGCCATCCCACTTCTGTGTATATATTGTATATCTGAAGAAAATCAAGTCACTAATTTGAAAGAATAGGTACACCCCTTGATTCATCACAACATTATCTACTATAGCCAAGATATGGAAACAACCCAAGTGCCCATCAAAAGGCAAGTGAATTAAAAAGTAGTGGTACATATAACAATAGAATATTTCTCAGCCATAAAAAGAATGAAACCTCATAATTTGCAACAGCATGGATGGACCTACAAAGTATTATGCTAAGTGAAATAAGTCGGTCAGAGAAAGATCAATACCATATGATTTCACTTATCTGTGGCATATAAAGAACAATATAAATGAACCAACAAAGCAGAAAAAGGCTCATAGATACAAAAAACAGACTGATTATTACCAGATTGGATGGAAAAGGTGAAGGGATTAAGTACAAGTTGACAGTTACAAAATAGTCATAAGGATGTAAAATAAAGTAACAGCATAGAGAATATAGTCAATAATTGTATTAAGTATGTATGGTGTCAGCTGGGTACTGAGAATATCAGAGGGAACACTTTGTAAAGTATATGATGTCTAACCACTATGCTGCTCACCTGGAATTAATAAAAATAATACTGAATGTAAAAAAAAGGACTTGGTTGAGACAGCTTCCTCTCCATCGCAACCACTTTCCTAATTCTACCATCCCATATAACATTTCAGAGATTGTTTTGTGAAGTGGAAGAATGGGAAACAAAGATTGAAGAAAGCCACACCTCTGGACTGGGCCACAAAGGAAGAATGAACATTACTTAAGAGGAATGCCAGGTGCATAGGCTTTTGCATCTCAAAAGCCATCTCTGCACAAAGATGTCTCAAAGTCTCCAGTAGCAACTACCATCGGCGTTTGGCTTAATTCAAGGGTCTCATTCTTGCATGTGGGCATCACATTTTTTTTCATCTGAGTCAACCTACAATTGATGTAAGCTGCTCATTCCTCAACGTCTCTAGGAAGTAGACTCTGGCAACGTCTCTAGGAAGTAGACTCTGATTGCCAGAGTCTACTTCCTAGAGACGTTGAGCAGCCCAAAGAGCAGCCCAAAGCTTAGAAGAGCCTCTTTGGCATTTTAACTATCAAAGGCCTAGAAAACAACAAACACACTACCATTAGTTAATTTAACATACGCCCTTTACTGTGGCCTCTTACGAATCTCCTGAACATCCTCACAAATTAAAAAATAAACCACGTTAGCCACTGAACTCTCTGTCAACACTGATGGACAGGCCCTTTCAGCTCCACACTTGTTAGTTATCCCAAATATTAAACAGGTTGATTGTTTCCAAAAGTTCAAGCTTTAGGGTTCAAGACTCAGGTCTCTCTCCCATGCCTGGCCCTTTCTGTATGCTTGGTAGAGATTGCCTTCCTGGGCACAGCTGGAGACACTGATAAGCTCCTTAGACAACACTGAAGAGTCCCATTATCTAGGTCCCATTTCTGGGGTCTCTGTTGAGCCATGCAGTACATTAGCATTATAAAATGTGTTTCCATTAAGAGCTTTTGGATTCGGGTCTGGCTGGAGAGGGAGACATTGGGACACTCTGGTTACATTACGTGTGGCTGGCTGGTACATACCTGTGTAAGCAGCTCCCTCCAAGCTCTTCATGAAATGAAGTAGGGACATACATAACTGTAAATGAATAAACAATTGCTTCCCTTCCTTCCTTAGTCCTGCCTGCCTTCCCTGTAAATGAAAGCACCAGCCCTTGACTAGGTCTAAGTGCATGGCCTGGGAAGCAGTGAAGGGATGCCTCCCTCTTAACCTTGTCAGGGTGACTCTATGACAGGCCAGCCCAGGCCCAGGTAGACATCAAAAATCTCCTGGAAGCTCTTAAAGAATAGTTATACCTGGCCCTTTCCCAGACCAATTACTTTAAATAATTAAGTTATTCCAATGCACAGCAGTTAAGAACCACCACTCTGAAGAGATGGGGGAGGGACCCAAGATGGAGGAGGGACCCAGGATGGGGGAGGGACCCAGGATGGGGCAGGGACCCAAGATGGGGGAGGGACCCAGGATGGGGGAGGGATCCAGGATGGGGGAGGGACCCAGGATGGGGCAGGGACCCAGGATGGGGGAGGGACCCAGGATGGGGGAGGGACCCAGGATGGGGCAGGGACCCAGGATGGGGGAGGGACCCAGGATGGGGGAGGGACCCAGGATGGGGCAGGGACCCAGGATGGGGGAGGGACCCAGGATGGGGGAGGGACCCAGGGTGGGGGAGGGACCCAGGATGGGAGAGGGACCCAGGATGGGGGAGGGACCCAGGATGGGGGAGGGACCCAGGATGGGGGAGGGACCCAGGATGGGGGAGGGACCCAGGACGGGGCAGGGACCCAGGACGGGGGAGGGACCCAGGACGGGGGAGGGACCCAGGGTGGGGGAGGGACCCAGGATGGGAGAGGGACCCAGGATGGGGGAGGGACCCAGGATGGGGGAGGGACCCAGGATGGGGGAGGGACCCAGGATGGGGCAGGGACCCAAGATGGAGGAGGGACCCAGGATGGGGGAGGGACCCAGGATTGGGAAGGGACCCATGGCTGAGTCTAGCTTCTTCCGCCTTCCCGTAGCTTCCATGGCCTTTTCTCACCTCTCCAAGGACATTCTCTTGGTCAACACTCACAGACTGAGTGTTGCACAATGACTGAGGCTCAAGGTTCAGGGCTCAGGCTAATATGACAGGAAAATCTACTTTACAAAGAGGTTTTGGTATAAAATGGGAGGTCAGTGATCAAGACCCCTGGTGAGATCCAAAATACCCCTCCCTTGCTGAACTCAGAACTCCAGGTAAAAGTGTATTGCTTCCCTTCCAACTTGACTTTTTCCAGCCCAAACGTTTAAAGACTCCTTTGGAAAGGCTGTGTGTAATGCGGCCTGCAGCCTGTTGCCCCGGTGAGGCCTGGGTTTCACAGAGCTCATGTTGCTTCCTCAGCCCCACAGCAGCCCCACAGGGAAGGAACTTCCTCTGAAAGCATCTGTATTGCATTGCCGACTCCACTCCAGTTTGCCTTTCACATTTCACCTTCGGTGGCCTGAGGGTTATCTTTTTCCAAGCCTCCCTGTCCCACCGCTCTCTTTAGGCCTGTGTCTCAGATTACTCTGTCCAGATGGAAATCTTTTCCAAGCCAAACTCCACTTACTTCTCATGTTAGCTTCTGAGTCCACAAACGCAGTTTATGCTATTTTTCTGCATGTTTGTTTATTAGCTGCTATCCTGCTGGTTTCACTTGACTCTGGGTACCTGGCCTTCTCCAATTTGTTTTCTCCTGGGATCTGTTAGTATTTGTTTGCAAGAGATTAGGTTTCTACAAAATAAGCTTCCAGTTGTAGACAACAATATTTTTTTTCAGAGAGTAGGGTAGGGGGACATTCTAAACCCACCCAAAGCCAAGAGGAACCCCGCTGAACACCTAAGCCTCCTTCTCGCCTCTCCTGCTTGGCAG